ATTGCGCCACTGCACTCCAGCCTGGAGACAGAGCGAGGCTCCATCTCAAAAAAACACAAAAGAAACAAGCAGAACTGCCAGGGACGTGCAGAGAAAAGGTCACATGAGGACACAGCAAGAAGGCAACTATCTGGAAGCCAACAAGAGAAGACTGGGGAAGTCAGCCCTGCTGGCACCTTGATCTTTGACTTCTGGCCTCTAGAACTGTGAGAAAATAACTTCCAGCTGTTGAAGCTACACGGTCTGTGGCATTTCATTATGGTAGCCCTAGAAAACTAATAGAGACTTCCTAAATCTGAGAAGGAACGCTGGAGAGAATTCCTTTGGGAAAGCAGGGCAGTCACAAGCACTCAGGTGTTACAGGAGCTTTGCCCAGGGCAGGATGCTTGCTCAGAAACACCTGACAAAGATCCTACGCTTTCACCTTGGCCTGATCATGAGGGTCAGTGCAGGCCTAGCTAAGTGCTGAAGAAAAGCTGTGGTGCAAAGGCAAACTTCAAAGACTGGGAGAGGTGTTTTCTTCCATTTTTAGCTCCTAGTATTCAAGGAAATCTCTATCAAAATGTGAGCTGAACACAAGCTAAAAGAATCAGAGACTTCAGTAACCACACATGAAAATGATAAATTTTTGCAAAAATAGTTTGGAAGTCACTAAACGTATGTACTACTACATAAACGTATGTATGACTAAAAACACACACACTCACAAACACAAGCAAATGCAATGAGAAGACATCTAAATGCCAGAGTTACTACTTTACAGTATTCAAATGTCCATGTTTCAATGACAGGCACAAATCATGCCAAGACAAAGGAACGTATTCAAAGTAACAAAATAAATTGATGGAAATCAGTCCTTAGGAAGCCCAGACATTGGACTTAGCAGAAAAAGACTTTTCAAAAACTCTCATAAATCATGAAGGACCTCTTCAAGGAGAACTACAAACCACTGCTCAAGGAAGTAAGAGAGTACACAAACAAATGGAAACACATTCCATGCTCATGGATAGGAAGAATCAATATTGTGAAAATGGCTATAGTACCCAAAGTAATTTACAGAGTCAATGCTATTTCCAACAAGCTACCACTGACTTTCTTCGCAGAATTAGAAAAACTACTTTAAATTTCATATGGAACCAAAAACGAGCCTGTATAGCTAAGACAATACTAAGCAAAAAGAACAAAGCTGTAGGCATCATGCTACCTGACTTCAAACTATACTACAAGGCTACAGTAACTAAAACAGCATGATGTTGGTACCAAAACAGATATATAGACAAATGGAACAGAACAGAGACCTCAGAAATAACACGACACATCTACAACCATCTGATCGACAAACTTGACAAAGACAAGCAATGGGGAAAGGATTCTCTATTTAATGGTGCTGGGAAGACTGGCTAGCCATATGTAGAAAACTGAAACTGGACCCCTTCCTTACACCTTATAAAAAATTAACTCAAAATGGATTAAAGACTTAAATATAAAATCCAAAACCATAAAAATCCTAGAAGAAAACCTAGGCAATACCATTCAGGACACAGGCATGGGCAAAGACTTCATGACTAACATAAAACACCAAAAGCAATTGCAACAAAAGCCAAAATTGACAAATGGGATCTAATTAAACTAAAGAGCTTCTGTATGGCAAAAGAAACTAGCATCAGAGTGAACAGGCAGCCTACAGAATGGGAGAAAATTTTTGCAATCTACCCATCTGACGAAGGTCAGATCCAGAATCTTTTTTTTTTTTTTTTTTTTGAGAGAGAGTCTTGCTCTGTCACCCAGGCTGGAGTGCAGGGGCATGAACTCGGCTCACTGCAAGCTCCGCCTCCCGGGTTCACGCCATTCTCCTGCCTCAGCCTCCTGAGTAGCTGGGACTACAGGCGCCTGCCACCATACTCGGCTGATTTTTTGTATTTTTAGTAGAGACGGGGTTTCACCGTGTTAGCCAGGATGGTCTCAATCTCCTGACCTCGTGATCTGCCTGCCTCGGCCTCCCAAAGTGCTGGGAGTACAGGTGTGAGCCACCATGCCTGGCCAGATCCAGAATCTTGTAGATTTTTGTAGATCCAGAAACAACAAGGAACTTAAACAAATTTACAAGTAAAAAACAACCCCATCAAAAAATGGGCAAAGGGCCAGGCACGGTGGCTCACGCTTGTAATCCCAGCACTTTGGGAGGCCAAGGCAGGTGAATCACCTGAGCTCAGGAGTTCAAGACTAAAAATACAAAAATTACTAAATTACTCTACTAAAAATATAAAAATTAGCCTGGCATGGTGGTGGGCACCTATAATCCCAGCTACTTCAGAGGCTGAGACAGGACAATCTCTTGAACTCAGGAGGCAGAGGTTGCAGTGAGCCTGGATCACGCCACTGCACTCCAGCCTGGGCAACAGAGTGAGACTCTGTCTCAAAAAACAAACAAAAAGGCTGGGCACAGTGGCTCATGCCTATAATCCCAGTGCTTTGGGAGCCCAAGGCAGGCAGATCACCTGAGGTCAGGAGTTCAAGAGCAGCCTGGCCAACATGGGGAATCCCCGTCTCTACTAAAAATACAAAAAAAATTAGCCGGGTATAGTGGTGCACACTTGTAATCCCAGCTACTAGGGAGGATGAGGCAGAAGAATCGCTTGAACCTGGGAGGTGGGAGGCGGAGGAGGAGCCGAGATTGTGCCACTGTACTCCACCCTAGGTGAGTGAGACTCGTCTCAAAGACAAAAAGCAGTGCATGTTGGCTAGTTTGTTAATCAATATTAGTTAGTTATTAGCTCCAAATAGATGCCACGTAATATGGTAGGCACTGATAACATACTCATGACGCAAAGCTGGTCCCAATGCTAGAATGATCTTTGTTCCTGAGATCCAGGTTGCTGCAGGGTGTAACACGGTGGGAGTTCCTTGGGCTACTGCCACTAGAGGGCAGCCGAAGCTCATCTGTAATGGCACAGTAATGGTTAACCCCAACAATCTAACATTGCCAGGGAAGAACTGTCCTGAAGGGCAAAGTACCAAGCTACCTAAAGTTTGTATTGATTCTCTCAAGATTGTTGCTAACAAAATTGTAAAATTGGTCAAGTTTGTGTTTGGAACCCCTAGCTCTCATTTCTTCACCCTCTTCCCTGCAGAGGTGGACTGAACAATACAGGTACCACCTGTAAGTAAAAAATGTGGCAGAAACAGTGAGTTGCATCTCTCACCAATAGGTGGGTCAGGGTGGGGAGGGAGAGGAGATTCCTGGAGAGGAATGGATCAAGCTGGGAAGCACAGAACTGCAAGCCAGAGACAACTAGCAGAAACAGGTGTGTGCTTCCAGTAACATAGGCACCAACTGTGTGACACTCACACGAAAAGGAGAAACACACACCTTCTACTCATAAACTCACTATTGACGGTGCACCTACTACCACCACCTACTTTGTGCAACACAGGAAACACTAATAAACACTAAAGACAGTGTCAGGCAAGGCATGGTGGCTCACGCCTGTGCTCCCAGCACTTTGGGAGGCTGAGGTGGGAGAATCGCTTGAGGCCAGGAGTATAAGACCATCCTCAGCAATACAGCGAGACCCTATCTCTACAAAAAGTTAAAAAAAAAAAAAAAAAAGACAGAGGCCAGGTGTGGTGACTCACGCCTATAATCCCAGCACTTTGGGAGGCTGAGGCAGGCAGATCACCTGAGGTCGGGAGTTCGAGACCAGCCTAACCAACATGAAGAAACCCCATCTCTACTAAAAATACAAAATTAGCCGGGCGTGGTGGTGCATGCCTGTAATCCCAGCTACTCGGGAGGCTAAGGCAGGAGAATTGCTTGAACCCGGGAGGCAGAAGTTGTGGTGAGCCGAGATCACAACATGGCACTCCAGCCTAGGCAAGAAGAGCAAAACTCTGACTCAAAAAAAAAAAGACAAAAAAATAAAAACAAAAACAAACCAGTCTCATTCCTTAATGAGTATAAAGAAGTAAAGTCTGTTTCAGTTACTAATTGCACAAGAAACCCATCCAAAACATAGTGGCATAGAACAATCATTATCAGGAATTCTGTGATTCCAACAGGCCTGGCTTGTCTCTGGTCCACGACATGTGGGGCCTCAGCTAGGAAGACGTGGAGACTGAGTGTGATCAATGGGAGGGGATTGGAATCATTTAGAGGCATCTTCATTCACAAAACCAGGAGCTGATACTGGCTGACAGCCAGGACTTCGACTGACTTGTGGGCTGGAACCTGTCTACATGGCCCCTCCTTGCATTCTCCCCATTTGGGCTGGTTTGGCTTCATCACAGTCCGGCAGCTTACTTCTAGGGGCAAGCATTCCACAACACAGCAGAAGGGCATGGCATTTTTATAGTGCAGCCTGGCAACCTCATAGCGTCGCTTCTGACCTACTTTCTTTATTGGTCAGGGCAATCACAAAGACGTGCATAGGCTCAAGGAAAAGACACATACCCCTGACCACGCAGTGGAAGAAGTGACAAGGTCATGTTATGAGAGGAGCGTGTGGGATGGGAGATAGGGCTGTGGCCACCTGCAGAAAATAGCATCTGCCATAGGCTGTCATGGTAGCGCAGGATGGGGATTTAGCCTAGCTGAGGAGTCAGTCAGCAAAGGCCTCGGCTGAAGATATGAGGGGCTAAAAGGAGACTGAGGAAGAGTTTCAGGGAGAGGAATCAATGAGACTGGAGTCCAGAGAGAGGCTGGTGAGTTGAATGGTTTGCTTCAGTGTGATGACAACACAGAGGGCAAGGAGACTGGACTGGTGCAGAAGGAGAGGGAAGGTGCCATGTGCTCTGGGTTGCGCCTTCTGTGTCGGTCCCCCTTAGAAGAGGAGCAGCCTCCAGTCAGCAGTGTCCCAGGAACACAGAGGCTGGAGAGGACAATGGCAGCCAATCCCTGCTCACAAACTGGTGACAGTGGGGAAAAGCTGCATGGTCTAGATCCACCCTGCTCCCTGGCCCCAGTAGAGAAGATCAAATGCAATCTCTCCAATCTTATGCAGATAAATTAAAGGAAGACTGGAAAGAAGAACTAATCCATGGCTCCATCTGCCCATGACTATTCTCTGCTGACGCCAGAGGATAAAGAGATGGCACACGACATGTTCCAACGCAGTGGAGATGGGGAGACCCCGCAAGTCCACAGGAAAAGAGTGAAGTTGCTGCCACTTGGGCATCTGCTATTCTCTGCTCTTCTGCCTCATCCTCAATTCAGACCATGATGGAGCTGATTTTCCCCCATTTTATACCTTGGATTGAATGTGTCTCGAGCTGCTGGTCTTGTCTCCAGTCACATCCAAGAGGTTTGTCTTTCAAATAAATGCTGTGTATCAGTGTGCAGTGTATATAATTAATACATGATATCAGACTAAATTATAGATAAGACAAGAGATGAAATCAGAGAGTTAAGTAGAGACCCAATGATAAAGAGCCTTGTAAATCAGGAAGAGTCTGGATCACGTGCTTCTCCAGATGCAATTTCCACAAGGCTGTAGGCGTGTGCCACTGATGATGCAGACACTGAACTACCCGCCGTGCTGGTCTGTGGCTTTCAAGTTTTGCTCATTCTGCTTCTGCGGGAAATGCCTTGACTCACCTTGGGAAAACCCACTTAGATCTTTTTTTTTGAAACGGAGTCTCGCTCTGTTGCCAGGCTGGAGTACAGTGGCATGATCTCAGCTCACTGCAACCTTTGCCTCCCGGGTTCAAGAGATTCCCCTGCCTCAGCCTCCCAAGTAGCTGGGACTACAGGCACACACCACCATGCACAGCTAATTTTGTGTGTGTGTTTTAGTAGAGATGGGGTTTTGCCATGTTGGCCAGGTTGGTCTCGATCTCCTGACTTTGTGATCCGCCTGCCTTGGCCTCCTAAACTGCTGGGATTAAAGGTGTGAGCCACCGTGCCCGGCTGGAAAACTCACTTATCTTTTAAGATTCAGCCCAACTGTCACCACCTCTGGGAACCTGTGGCCACTCTCCCTTTGGGGTCCCCGCTCTACCGTGTCTCTTTTCATTACATTCCTATCAGTTTATTGCACGGTACTGCGTATCTGTTTCTCCCCACTCTGGCCTGTGGGCTCTTTGAAGACATGGGCTGTATCTTGCTTGTCTTTTGATCCCTCACATAGGATATGGTGCATGGCGAGCACTCACTAAATGTGTGCAGAGTACTGCATGAATAAAAACTTCATCCAGGCCAGGCGCAGTGGCTCACACCTGTACTCCCCGCGCTTTGGGAGGCCAAAGAGGGAGGACTGCTTGAGCCCAAGAGTTCAAGACTAGCCTGGGCAACATAGCAGAGATCTCGTCTGTACTAAAACAACAACAACAACTAGCTGGGCATGGTGGTGTGAACCTGTAGTCCCAGCTACTCAGAAGGCTGAGGCAGGAGGATCCCTGGAACCCAGGAAGTCAACGCTGCAGTGAGCTATGATCGCTCCACTGCACTCCAGCCTGGGTGACAGAGTGCGACCCTGTCTCTTAAAAAAAAAAGAAAGTTCATTTATAAAGAGAAGTGAACAGGAATCTGACTCTTGTACTTTGGTGGGAGTTCGGGTTATCTTTTACCTGAGGCTGAGGCTATGCCAAAACTGAGGGCTATAACAACCAGCACCATGTACCACGTGCTGCTTCTGTGCCACAGGCTCTCCTACATGCTTGACACGCATCTGTCTATTTCAGCCTCCCAATAATCCTACTCCATGTCCAGCAAGGAGTGAAAAGGCTGCGGCGGGTCACATGGAGAAGAGGGCCCCCGTGAACAGACGAAATGAGGAAGAAGATCTGGAGAGGTCGCATGAGCTAGAGTGCAAAGGCACAGTGGCTGCAGTGCAGGCTCTTTAGCAAGGTGCTTTGGGCTGGAGATGGGGTTAGGTTTTTACTGCATGTTGCGAGATAGCGCCAGGAGACACAATCAACATGCAAATGGGTAGGATGTTTCATCACACAGAAGCAAAAAGTATTGCTCCCAAAATGAGAAGTTACGCCCTAAAAGTTATCAAGACAACAATTTTCAATGCCAAATGTTGTTTCCAGTTCCAGAGGAGATAGAGTAAGCACACCCATTATATTTCTTTTCCAATTACAACTAAAACTCCTGTTCAAAATACATGAAGCAGCTGGGCATGTTGGCTCATGCCTGTAATCCCAGCACTATGGGATGCCGAGGCAGGCAGATCACCTGAGGTCAGGAGTTTGAGACCAGCCTGGCCAACATGGTGAAAACCCATCTCTACTAATAATACAAACATGAGCTGGGCATGGTGGTGCGTACCTGTAATCCCAGCTACTCGGGAGGCTGAGGCAGGAGAATCATTTGAACCCAGGAGGCGGAGGTCGCAGTGAGCTGAGATCGCACCATTGCACTCCAGCTTGGGTGACAAGGCAAGACTCTGTCCCAAAAAAAAAAACAAAAAAACCAGGTGTGGCATATGCCTGTAATCCAGCTACTTGGGAGGCTGAGGCAGGAGAATCGTTTGAACTTGGGAGGCGGAGGTTGCAGTGAGCTGAGATCGCCACTGCACTCTGGCCTGGGCAGCAAGAAACGAGGAAACTCCATCTCAAAAAAATATGCCAGGCATGGTGGCTCATGCCTGTAATCCCAGCACTATGGGATGCCGAGGCAGGCAGATCACCTGAGGTCAGGAGTTTGAGACCAGCCTGGCCAACATGGTGAAAACCCATCTCTACTAATAATACAAACATGAGCTGGGCATGGTGGTGCGTGCACCTGTAATCCCAGCTACTCGGGAGAGCTGAGGCAGGAGAACTGCTTGAACAGGAGGTGGAGACTGCAGTGAAACCCATCTCTACTAATAATACAAACATGAGCTGGGCATGGTGGTGTGTACCTGTAATCCCAGCTACTCGGGAGGCTGAGGCAGGAGAACTGCTTGAACCAGGAGGTGGAGACTGCAGTGAGCTAAGATCGCACCATTGCACTCCAACCTGGGCAACAGAGCCAGACTATCTTAATTAAAAATAAATAAATAGGCTGGGCGCGGTGGCTCACACCTTTAATCCCAGCACTTTGGGAGGCCGAGATGGGCGGATCGCGAGGTCAGGAGATCGGGACCATCCTGGCTAACACAGTGAAACACCGTCTCTACTAAAAATACAAAAAATTAGCCAAGTGTGTTGGTTGGCGCCTGTAGTCCCAGCTACTCGGGAGGCTGAGGCAGGAGAATGGTGTGAACCCGGGAGGTGGAGCTTGCAGTGAGCCAAGATCGCGTCACTGCACTCCAGCCTGGATGACAGAGCGAGACTCCATCTCAAAATAAATAAATTAATTAAATAATAAATAAAATAATAAATAAATAAATAAATAAATAAATGAAGCAATGATCCAATCAGTCAAACAAACAAATTCTGGAAAGGTGGAGAAGAGAAGGGCTGACCCAGTGGTGAGTTCCCGGGGGTTTGACAGTTTGTTGTTTAGCCTCCTATATACCCTGTCTTACGGTTAAAGCAGAGTCTACAACCAGGAAATCCCAGTGCCCCCTCCCGCCCCCGCCCCCCACAAAAGGAGCCTCATCTTTTGAGCCAAATGACAGGGAAGAGGGCGGCCCTGCGGGACAGTGCCCTTTTGACTCCACACACCCTACTCTAGGAAAACAGTCTGAAAAAAGCTGTACCTTCCCCTGTCCTAGATACTGTAGAGACTGTGGAACAAAGACCTGTTGACCCTTCCCACCTTGGGCCAACACAAGCAGAGGTGGCATCTCTCCGTTCTCCATCGAGCACTGGAAAGACTATGTGGAAGGGCCCTGTTGACTATCCACAACCTGCACAAGATTGAGTCACCGTAACAAGGTGGCACCCCATCCTCTCTCAGATACAGTGAGGAGCTAGAAGAAAGGATTCTTCAACCCATTTCCCGCTCCCTGTCCCACCTGCCGCAGAATACTCCTCTCTGATCCTAATGTAACATTGTATACATTTCAGTTACATAGGATTAAAGACAAGTTCTGTTTAATAATAACTCCAAGGACAGTTTATATATATATTTTTTCTTTTAGAACAGGAGTGAAAATTTATTAAGTTTTAAAGCAGTAAAGAAAGGAAGGAAAGGAAGGAAAGTACACTAGGAAGAAGGCCAAACCCAGTTTTCATATTGTATTTTCGCATTGAAAATCAGTCAGATTTCCTTCAGCCTCAAAAGTGTGTTTATGTATATGTAAATGAAATGAGCGCTAGCAGCAAGCTGCACTTTCTTTTTTCCTAAATGGAAAACAGGTTAAATATGGGTAGGAAGTCCTGGCCATGCCCTCCAAGTGGCCATGTGTGAAAACAACCAGGATCAACACAGCAAAAGCTTTGAGAGCTAAACAGCAATGTGGAATACTCTGAGGTTTCAAACTGGCCTCCGAGCTGGGTGTGGTGGCTCGTGCCTGTAATCCCAACACTGTTGAAGGCCAAGATGGGAGGAACACTTGAGCCCAGGAGTTCAAGATCAGCCTGGGCAACAGAGTGAGACCTTGTCTCTACTAAATATAAAAAATTAGCTGGGCGTGGTAGTGTATACCTCTGGTCCCAGCTACTCAGGAGGCTGAGAAAGAGGAGTGATTGAGTCTGGGAGGTTACAGCTGCAGTGAGCTATGACTGGGCATTGCACTCCAGCCAGGGCAACAGAGCAAGACCCTCTCTCCAAACAACAACAAAAAAACAAATTGGCCTCTGGGTTGCACACAGGTGGGGGAGGCCAGGAGAGCTCTGCAAAAACTTAGAAAACTAAATTGATCTGAGAACCAGAGCCCTGCTGGCCACAGAAAGTGCATCCTAAATCTAAACAGGTTGAGTATCAGAATATTTAAATAGTAACTACAGCCTCATAACATAACACTCAAAGTGTCCAGGATAAAATTAAAACTTACTCCTCATACTAAGAACCAGAAAAATCTGAACCCAGAAAAATTACTCCTCATACTAAAAACCAGGAAGAATCTGAATGAGGAAAGACAACAGACAGTAACACTAAGATGACAAACATGTTGGAATTATTGCCTAAGGATTTTCGGTGAGCTATTTTATAAATGGCCCAAGAAGTAATTATGAACACTCTCGAAACACTGGAAAATATAAAGTCTCATTGAAGATATATGGAAGATCTACATTGTAATTTCAGAACTAGAAATTACAATAACTAAGTAAAAAACTCAATGGGTGAACTCAATAGCAGAATGGAGATACAAAAGAGAAACAAATTAATGACCTTGATGATAGAGCAGCAGAAATGATCCAATCTGTATCATGACAATCTTGCCATAAGAAAATAAAAGTATGTAGAAATAATCCCATTTGACCCACAGAGAGAAAACAAATAGAAAAAAAAAAAAAA